CTCTGCGTCGCAAGCCTTGGCTTGTTGGTGGCGGGGTCACTGTAATTCCTTTTAGATCAAGAGTTTGATCCTACCGTGGCATGGGGGCTCTAAAATTTTAGACATATGGCGCGAGTTCTCATCATGGGGCCAAAAATCGCATGGGGAATCGATCTTTAGGTCTGCCAAATATCGATTTCCTTTTAATATGTGTGCAGACCTTGGCCTGTTGGTAGCGTGGTCACTGTAAGTCTCCTCAGGTCAAGAGTTTAATCCCAACGTTGTGCGGGGACTGAAATTTTAGGCACATGGCGCAGACTCTTATCATGGGGCCAGGATAATTTTACAAACAGGACTAAGAAATAAGACTAATTTAACATTATTTTTCTTATAATATATATATATATATATAGCAATGAAGCTTTCGCTGGCTAAGGCTTCTGGCGATTTCGGCGTCTTGGGTTCTGCTTCCAATGGCTGGTGAGATCGCTCATCTTCTCCTCGCCTTTTCTTCCTTCATTGATATCTGTTTTCTTGAGTTTTTGGGGACCGATGGAGCGGAGTTATGCCGCTGCAGTTGGTTCTACCCCTAGCTTTGGGTTCGGGATTGGCACCTCTTGCAATTTTCCCCAATATTTTCACAAGTCTATTGAAATCAGTGGTGATTACAATTTTGTTAAGAAGCTTGGACGGAGAAATGGTATGTCGACTTTGTTTCTCACGGAGGCGAAAATCGACATTGTTGCCTCCTCTTGTCGATTTGCACTTGTGGGAAAGTTTCTGTATGGTAACCCGAAGCTTGATATAACTCGAAAAGAATTTGATTATGGTAACCCGAAGCTTGATATAATTCGAAAAGAATTTGATTCCATGAAACTTACCGGAAATTGGAAGATTGGTTTGCTAGATGGCCACTATATCCTTATTCAACTTTCAAATGATGTGGATTATACACGTATTTTTGCATGTAAGATTATCAAGATTGACAATAGACTCATGAAGATTCTAAAGTGGACGGTTGATTTTGATCCAAAGCTGGAGTCTCCTATTATTCTTGTCTGGATTCATTTTCCGGGTTTAAATCTTCAGTTTTTTAATTATGAAATTTTGTGTTTGCTAGCATCTGCCTATGGCAAGCCACTTAAGGTGGATAACCCCACACTTAATCTTACTAGACCGTCTGAAGCTTGTGTTCTAGTAGAAAGGGATATTACAGAATCATTTCCGAATAATATCTGGATTGGTACCATCATAAGGGTTATTGGCAAAAAGTAGAATTGGAATCACACCCACCATATTGCTCACATTGTTGCATGTTTGGACATCTCCCAAATCATTGCTATTGTTTGCATCCTCACCTTTGGCCAGGATCTGGGAATATCCCGCCTCAACAAGCTAGAATTAGATAAGCAGTTCCCTCCAGTTGAGCTATCATTACATAACCCACCACCTCATGCAAACTCCTCGCTTGCTCCTAACTCAAATATTGTTGATGAAATTTTGAATGATGAAAGAACCCTTGAGCCCTTTACTATTGCGATTTTGGATACAATTGTGCAACCTGAAATGCACAATATTGGTGATCTTATTACTCGAGATGCTCATCATGTGATTTAAAATATTCCTGTGAATGGGATGGACGTCACTGATCAAGGAAATGTCTTAATTCAAGAGGGCACTTACTATTCTGATGGTGATAATTTAGGCCATCCTCCTAGATCCTCTAGGAGGGCTGGTTTAAGGCAATATGTTTAACATAATAGTATAGAACATTAGGGGAGTGGCTGACCCTTCCTCCCTTAATCGTTTAAAACACCTATGTAGGGTCCATAAACTTTTCTTTTTTGTTATACTAGAGCCTCTTGTATCTATTAATAAAGACAAGATTATCAAAAGCTTCAAGCATTACAAAGCACTTTTGCAACAAAAACAATAAAACTTGGGTTTTTTGGAGGAGGAATATACATGTTAACATAATAGAAGATGAGGAACAATTTGTTCTCACTGATTTCAGGTTGGAGGATTATCATGGCTGGGCTACCTTTGTCTATGCTAGCTCTCTTTTAAAGGATAAATACTTGCTTTGGAATAAAATCAAACAAATGGGCGAAATCATCACAAATAATTAGTTTGTAGGGGACGATTTTAATATGATCATGAAACCCACTGAGCGATGTGGGGGTTCGAGATGTGACGCTAATCTTATTAACAATTTCTGTGAACATATTGTTGTTGTAGATCTGTTTAATTTAGGCTATTCGGGCTCCCCCTTTACATGGAGGAGGGGTTTTATGATTCAAAGGTTAGATAGGGTCTTTGGTAATTCTCAGTTTTTAAATTATTTTCATGTCTCTCGTGTTCGACACTTGAATTATGCTGCTTCAGACCATAATCCAATTCTGCTGTCTCTTCATTTTCATAATAAGCCTAAGGCATATCATTTAAAATTTATCAATATCCTGTCATCACAGGTTTTCTTTTTGAGTACTATACGACAGGATTGGCAACCCATGGTACACACTTTGGCATATGCACAAAAAAGCTGTTGTATTGAGGATTTGGAATTATCAGGTTTTTGGCAATGTTCATACTAAAGTTGAGGAGGCTCAGAAAGCGGTGGATTATCTAGAATCTCAAGCTATTTGTGATTTTAATTATGCTGATGAGGTTGCTTAAGCCCATCTCAAGCTCCTAGATGCAATCTCCCTTGAGGAAGTTTTCTTGAAGCAAAAGGCTAATAATGTAATTTTTGCTGAAGGAGACCGTAATACAAAATATTTTCATGCTACTTTAAAGCATAAAACAAATGTCAACGCCATTCTTAAAATTAAAATGAATGAAGGGGTTGTTCTCACGGATGCTGAGGAAATTGGTCAGAGCGTTGTGCAATATTTTACAACTTTATATGGAACTGCTCAACCAGTTTCCCCGGTTGATTCTGATCTTTTTGCAATGGAAAGGGATTATGTATCCTCCCTCTCTTTCTGAGGTTCCAAATGAACAGTAAATTCTATCTGCTTTTAAGGATATTAATTCCAACAAGGTTTGGGCCCTGATGGCTTCACTTCACTCTTTTATACTCATTGTTGGCATATCATCAAAAGGGAGGTAATATTGGCAATTCAAAGTTTCTTTCTAGGGGAGGATCCTCATAAATATTTCACTTCTGCATTGATTGTCCTTATTCCTAAAAGCAATGATAAGGCTCACTGGCACAGTTTCAGACCGATCTCTCTTACCTCTACCATATCTAAGGTCATAAGCAAGCTGTTGGTGGCTCGATTACAACCACATATTTCCTCTACTATATCTCCCCAACAGTCTGTTTTTATTAAAGGTAGAGATATTACTGATAATATTTTGCTTGCCCAAGAGATAGTTAAGGATCTTGATAAAAAATGCAGAGGGAATTTAGTTTTCAAGCTCGACATCTAAAAAAACTTTTGACACCATTAGTTGGGATTTCATTCTTAATATATTGAAAGCTAGAAGTTTTTCTGCTGATTTTTGCATGCTTATCAAAAGATAGTTACATAATAACTATTATAGTGTGTTGGTTAATGGTAATTCCTATAGCTTCTTTTCCGCACAAAGGAAATTAAGCAAGGGGACCCTCTTTCCCCCACTATCTTCATCATTGCATTTGATTACTTATCTCGTTTACTAAAACATTTTCACCTCAAACACTCTTATGCTCAATACTCTCATAAAGCTAAGCTCATGGTAAGCCTTTTGGCGTATGCGGATGATGCCATCCTTTTCTGCAATGCATCCAAACTGTTGAATGATTTTCAACATAGCTCTGGTTTGGCTTTCAAAAAAGATAACTTCAATCTTTACATTGGAAACTATGTTAAAAATGACCTATTTAATTGGGTTACTTCTTACACTGGGTGTCACGGTTCATCTCTCCCTATATCTTGGGGTCAACTTGCTTAGGGGTAGAAAGAAGCAGATTCAAATGGATGAAGTGATTGATAAAATTAAACTTAAAATTGCCGATTGGAGGAATGTTTTTCTGTCTAATGGTGGTAGGTTAACTCTCCTCACTAGTGTCCTCCATAGTATACCCCTTTATGCGATGCAAGTTCTCAATCCCAAAAAAAAACATTCTTAGCATCTTGGATAGGTTGTTCAGTAAATTTCTTTGGTCTGATGGTGGTGCTAAGAAAATCTGGGCTGCTTGGCATAAGGTATGCAAGCCTAGGAAGGCTGGTGGGCTTGGCTTTAAAGCATGCACCATATCGTTGAAATAAACATGTGCAAGTTATGGTTTAGATTTCGAATGGGCCATTCTCTGTGTGCTAAATTTTTGCAACAAAAATATTGTCATAATGCTCACCCTGAGGACTCAAAATTTTGGAAGACTATCGTTCAAGCTAGAACGACAGCTGAACAGTTTATTTCATGGGATTTGAGAGAGGGCAACATCTCTTTCTGGCACGATCATTGGAGTATTACCAATCCTTTTTGTCACCAAAACCACTCTAAGGATGATGGTTTGCTTGTTTTAGATTGCTGGATTCAAGGTGACTGGAATGTTAGCAAATTGAAAGATATGGTTGGCAATGACACTGCTATGCAATTATCTCATATTCCTAATACAAGCTTCTATTAAAGATACTCCTATTTGGAATTTGACTCCAAGGTTTCGGTTAGCAAATTGCTTTACTCCAAGCCCCATACTTTCCAGGATTGGTGTTGGGGTCACTTAATTTGGAATACTCTACTCTCCCCATCTATCTCTTTCTTCTTATGGCTGTTCTTTCTCTATTTGCTCCCTCTTGATGACATACTCAAATTGAAGGGCTTGTGATTGGTTTCTATATGCCCTCTATGCAAAGGTGTTTAAAAAGGGTACAATCATCTATTTTTTGAATGTTGCCTTTCTAGACAGGTATGGAATATGTGTGAAATTCTCTTTGGGGCTGTGTGGCCTTAGGGATGTACCATAGAGGACTACTTATTGGTTCGGAAAACCTCGATTAGCATGGATAGAAAGCTTCATTTCTTTCCTTTGGTTGTGATTTGGTTCATTTGGATTGCTAGAAATAGTCACAAGTATGATGCTTCTCCCCTTACTCCAACAATTACGGTCTCCTTTATTCTTGCACATTACAACAAGGATAGTAGGACTATTTCGGCTACTGTTGCTAATCCTAGGAGGGATCGGATGCCTACTCTAGAACAATGGCAGCCACCTCCCACGGGTTAGCTCAAAGTCAATATTGATGGAAGCTGGACTCCTGAGATTTCAGGGGCTGGAGGTATTTTTAGAAATCACATGGGTGCACATGTTTGTTACTGTACTTCACCTCTTCCTGCTGCAAGCCCCTTAGAAGCGGAATGTTGGGCCGTGTTTTTAGCTTTAAAAACGGCTGCTATATTTAAATTTTCACACATTATTGTTGAAACAGATGACTCCTTACTCTATCATATGCTCAAAAAGACATCTAAACCTCTTTGGAATCTTATTTATCACTCTAACCGTATTTGTGATTTTATCTCAAAGAACCATTTAACTGTGAATTCGAGCTTTATATTCTGAGAGGGCAACTCCCGTGTAGATTGGTTTGCCAAGCATACTGGTGTTGGGCCTTTCGTGTCTCTACAACCCACTATTCACTTCAGAAATTTAATTAATGGGGATTTACTGGATTTTCCTTATATTAGAAGGTAGCAGCCTCCACATCTTTAAAATGATTACACTCTCTTCTCCTTCGAACATAGCTGTGGAGTATAATTTTAGATTAACTATTGCTGGACAAATTTTTCTTCTTTCGGTTTTGAGGCTTGGTGGCTGGATTTATCGTACCAATTCTGGTGCAGCTTTCCAACTCTGGTTTTTGGTTCTCTTATGGTGCTTCTCTGGTTATATTCGTGATGTTACAGTTGCTTTGATCCTCTCCCTATTTCGGTTTTCAGTTTTCTTTTTGCTGGGAGTTATCGCATCGTTGGATATATATAGGAGATATATATTTGCTTTGTTGATGAATGGTGCTCTCTCCATATTTGTCATTTTGCCTATCCTGCCGCTGGATATGGTTTTGCGGTTTGGTAGTGTTAGCAGGTCTTGAAAGGATGCAGACCCATCTTGCTTTGGAAAGTTATTGATCTTTTACTCTAGCTGGAAGGTTCAATTTTTTGGAGCAGCTCTCAGTTTTTTGGGATGTTTTGAAGCAGATTTTGCCATTTGCAGTCCTGGAAATGCTCTCGGCTCAGCTCAAATATTTTGGTTTTCCTTTGGGCTCGCCCCTGCATTTTTCTTTTTGGCTGTTTATGTGGTTTGGGCATAAGACAATTTTGATTTTTTGTCATTTGTTTTGGTATTTTCTTTTTTGGTTGCTATTGAATGGATTTGTAATAGGGTCGAGGAACCCCCTTAGGAGTGCGTACTGTATTTCTTTTGGATTTTTAGTTTCGGGGGATCCTCTCCCAACCCAATCTTTTGTACTCGCTTTTTGTGATTAACACGTAGGGAGGAATAATGCTCAAGAAAGCATCCCGTAAAAACAATAAACTTGCTAGGCTACTAAAGAAGTTTCTAGACCTCAACCAAAAGTGAGGTCAACACCGCCTTACCAACTATTCTTAGTAGGTAAGTTTCTTTATGACAACCCTAAACTTGAGTTAATTCAAAAGGATTTTGAGCAAATAAAGCTGAAAGGGGGTTGGAAGATTGGTAAATTGGATGGTCGGCATATTCTCATTCAATTATCAAATGATGAAGACTACGCTCATTTGTTTGCGAGAATACTATTTCGAATAGACAACCAGATGATGAAGGTTGGACGGTGGATTTTGACCCTCGTACTGAACCTCCTACCATTCATGTTTGGCTGTGCTTCTCAAGTTTAAAGGTCCACCTTTACGATCAAGAGTTTCTCTTCGCTTTAGCGATGGTATACGGTAAACCTCTCAAAACTGTTACGCCTGCAGTGAATCTGACTCGGCCCTCTGAAACCAGAATTTTGATAGAACGGAATATTACTTTACATTTTCCGGGAGGGATATGGATTAGCACACAACAACAGGGATTTTGGCAGCAAGCAGAACTTGAACAGATGCGTCTTTATTGCACCCACTATCGTATGTTTGGACACTCTCTCTCAATGTTATCAGTTGCATCCGAATATAAAACCCCCAAGTAAAAATGCTACTGGATCTGCCCCACTTCATATATGTCCCTCTTCCGCTCTCGAGTGCAATCCACAGACTATTGAAACACTGGTTGACACGATGCCACCTCTCCCTCCCACTATCGGAGACAATACTGTTTATGTTCTTCTGACTCATGTATTGGCAGATAATTTACTTGGGCATCCTACAGTTTCTATCAATGTTGAAAACAATACTGCAGGATCCTTACCTCCAAAAGATATTCTTCGATCTGATAATCAGGATAGTATCGTAGGTCCACATCCTCAAGAAGCATCAGGTGCTGAGGAGACATGTTTACTATCTCTTCAGAATGAGAATGTTGTTATTGTTAATCAGGAGTTGGGAGCTCATCTTCTTCTACATGCCCGACAATCTATTGACCACACTGATCAGATGAGCCAGCCTTCGGATACGGAATGGCAGGTATACACATCTAGGAAGAAAAAAAAGAATGGAGGCACACCCCAGCTTGGGAACTTAATGGATGATACTTTAGTAAGCTCCGCTCCTAGAACCAGAGGCAGAGGCAGGACCCAGCTGGCTCGTCCCTAGCAACTTATTTTCTGCGAGTTTTGAATTTTAGAATTTTAGGATGCTAGTGTCTGTGTATCGTATGGGTAGGGCGTCTTTATTGGGTCCTCACATACATACATACATACATACATACATTTAAAAGCGAATATGCCCCCTCATTTTTCTCCAAAGTCCGCGCTCAAGTAAAACAACTCGTAGTCACTGTTTTTAAATTTAGAAAACAGCAGCTTGAAATATCCTAAACTGCAGCACTAATCTCTTAATAGATATCCATACCAGCATTTACAACGTTATAACAGAATTCTCTAATGTTAAGCTTCAATTGATAAAAGCTCATACACACCAAACAGCAACTAGTGAGAAAAAGAAAGGGGAATTCACAAAGAACATTATTAATCATTTTCCTCCCCTCTTTTATCACACGGTGATGCAACTAGAAAAAGATATGACATTTGAAAAATATATATAAAAAAAAGCAACAAGCGCATGAAAAGGGTGTATATTTTAATTTACTAACTAGTGAGCAAAAAAGAGCCATGAAAATTTTAATTTATATTGACTTAATCCTTTTTAATAGGGAGCCCTAAAGTTTACATGCTCTCTTTTTCGTTCCGAATTCTTAATATATTCGCCCTCTGGCACTATAACTGCACATTGAGATGCCAACGTCATCAACATTTTCGTTATTATTTCATGAAGCACATTCAAAATTGCATGGAAATGAAGCCTAAAAGATGAATTATAAAATCTAAGCATTGCACGAAGAAAAATGATGAAAATTGTACAGGGTGCTATACCTCCTCCAGATAACTTCGGTATATCATCTTCCCTTTGAAAAATAGGATTGTCATCATCATATTGAACCCAACTACCTGGATGATAAGCTTGTGTCTAAGAAAAAAACATGACTAAAGAAATTCAAAATGATAGCAAAACTTCACAGGGATGCGATTTATTAAAGCTTGGTAGGCTAACCATTCTCCTGCTTCACCCAAGCGACATAATGACCAGAGTCAGCACTTCTTCCCTTGTGTGTCAATACAGCAACAAGATCATAAATACCAGTAAGCTGTGTTTTCTTCTCAGATAAAGCTCCTGTTACGAGTAAAAGAGGGTAAGGAGGACACACAAACAGACCTCAAACAAATTCTGCATCTACAATTCTATTTTCTAATGATGGTAAATATATCAGCAAACCCTGGGCCTAAAATGAAAGAAATATGGACAAAAGTTAAGCAAAGAGTCGCAACATAAGTTTCCTTGACAATGACACCGAGCCAAACAATTATAAATCGGTATTAATAAGATAGGAATTAGAAAATGCACTAAATATTTTTTAGCACGCAATAATACTACATGACCATAGGTAAATTCAAGAGTGGATCAGAGAACACAAAACATGCAGAAGCATTAATATTAATTCCATTCTAATTAAGAAAAATGAAATAAATAAAAGAAATTACAAGATTCCATGAAATAGGATCTCTCGTATTAAAGAAAAAATTGTATTTTTCTAAACATTTCCCAAGACAGCAGTATTGAAAAGCCATAAATGTTATAAGTCAGATAACTAGCATAAAGTTAAGGTCTAAACTACATGTTATCGAAAGCACAAGTTGCCGCCATTAAGGTGATACGGCTTCCTAATGCTGGAGGCACTCAATGTTCAGTTAAACAAAGCGAAATGTTAAAAAAATAAACAATAGAATCACTTAATAAAGTTAATTTTAATTATAAAAGATACTAATGGAAAGTATAAAATGAAAATCACATGAAATTATGCGGCAGAGATGATGATTTTCAAATCCCATTGCATTCCAAAGTCTAGTCTTGTTAAACAAGTACAATTAGGGCTTATTTTGGTTCTGTTGTTGGTTGTTGCTGTGAGTATAAAGTTAGTTAAGACGCTACCGTAAGAAACTGCCAAATAATCATCTGTGGTGCAAATGGAGTACGAAATATAAATGCGAATTTCATTTTCGGGAAAAAAATTATTATGGAGCTATTTTATCATTCCAAAAGACAAATGCCCCGTCAAATTTATTTTTATCACATTATGATTGGTGGGAATATAGGTAATACTGTTATTGCCGGTCCCAAGCCTGGAGTGAAAGTGAAGGGTTGCGTTAGGTTGTCGACAGCCAATGTAAAACTTGTCCAAAAAATCATGAAATGAATCCTTTTGATCAATGTGTAACTGTTTGGGCGTCCTCTGTAAGCGACGTGCTGTATAGCCTTAATACAGTGAAAAGTGTACAAGGGTTGCTACACCGCTGTCTGGCTTTAGTGTCAAATAAGTAATGGTTCCCACATTACAGATGAATGCAAGTAAAGAAGTTATATGTACTCTCAATGATAAATTAATGAAATGAGTTGATATTATGATTCATAGAAAGATTAATACTTATATGTATTCAAGAAACAAAATGGATTGGAGAAAAGGCTAAGAAAATTGATAACTTCGGTTTAAAACTTTGGTATTCTGGTAAGAGTCGCACTAGAAATGGTGTAGTTGTAAATATTGATAAGAATTTGAAAGATAATATTGTAAAAATTAATAGAGTTGAAGATAGAATTAAAGCCCTAAAAATTATCATTGATAGTCAAATTTTTAATATTACAAGTGCTTATATTCCTCAAGTAGGTTTAGATTTAAGGTCTAAAGATAAATTCTGAAATGACTTAGAAGTTTAAAAAAATATTACAAATGATACCTCTTGATGAAAGAATTTTTATTGGAGAAGATTTAAATTGACATGTCGGTAGAGTTGTAGAAGATTTCAAAAATATTTATGGTGGCTACGGTTTTGGAGTAACTAATTAAGAAGATAGAGTTACTTTATATTTTGTTTTAGTGTATGATTTTGTTATTACTAATAATTTATTTAAGAAAAGAGATGAGCATCTTATTACATATAAGAATATATCTAATAAAACACAAATTGATTATTTTTTTATGAGAAAAAAAAGATCGTCAAGATTGTAAATATTGTAAGGTCATTCCAAGTGAGATTTAGCTAACCAACATCATTTATTAGTTCTAGATTTTAAGATAAAGAGTTGTAAAATAAAGAATATCATGATCAATCATCGTAGAATTGGATGGAGAAACCTAAAAGTCACAAATAAAATTATTTTTATGAGTAAAAGTCGAGATTTCAAAATTTGGGATGTTCACGAAGAAACAAATGTTGTTGGATAAAGTAACAAACACTATTAAACAAGTAGCAAAAGATTTACTTGGAAAATCAAAAGAAAAAGTTTATATAAATAAAAATAGTTGGTGGTGGAAAAATAATGTGCAAGAAAGATAAAATATAAGAAGTTATGTTATAAAAATTTTCTTAAATGTAAAAGCTTAGATAAGTGAAAAAAATATCAAATGGCCTGCAGAGAGTCTAAATGAATAATCTGTGACCCTAAAAATCCTGCTTCTAATGATCTTTATAATAGATTAAATACTAAGGAAGATGAAAAATATATGTATAAACTAGCCAAACAAAAAGAAAAGAAAAGGATTTAACTCAAGTAAAGTGTATTAAAGATGAAAATAAAAAAAAACATTCATTCTTAGAAAAAGATATTAACACAAGTGGGTGAGTTATTTTGATAAACTTTTTAATAATGCTTAAGAAAATACGATCGACCTTAGTGATCTTAATGTCATTAATAATAATAAAACGTTTCATTTTTACCGTCGCATTAGTAAAAAAAAAAACCAAGGGTGGAAAGCCTGTATGATCTGATGATATCTCAATTGAGGTGTGGAAATATCAAGGAGATTTGGGAGTTTCTTAGTTTACTAACTCTTTCATATTATTTTAAAAACTAAAAAGATGTCTGAAGAGAGAGTAGAAATAGTATTTAGGTACCCATATTTAAAAATAAATGGGATGCACAAAAGTGTGCAAATTATAGAGATATTAGGTTGATGTGTCATACTTTAAAATTATGGGAGGGGGTAATTGAACATAAGTTAAGACGTATTACAAAGATTTATCATAATCAATTTGGATTTATGTCGGGCAGGTCTATTATGGAAGCGATACATTTATTGAGAGTTTTGATGGAGAAGTTCAAAAATAATAAGGAGGATCTACATTTGAATTTTATTGATTTAGAAAAAGCTTACGATAAAGTTCCAAGAGATATCCTTTGAAGAGTTCTTGAGAAGAAAGGTGTTGATATGACATATTCAAGTCATTAAAGATATGTATACTAGAGTTGTTAATTGTGTTCGAACTGAAGGAGAATTGACCAAATATTTTCCTATTTCTATTGGATTACATCAGGGATCGGCTTTAAGCCCCTTTTGTTTTGGTTATGGATGTTCTTACTGGACATTTACAGAAGGATGTACATTGGTATATGTTTTTTGTTGATGATATCCTTCTCGTGGATAAAAAGAGAGAAAAAGCTTAGGAAAAACTTGAATTATGGAGGCCTACATTGGAGTCTAAAGGCCTTCATTTGAGTAGAACTAAAACTGAATACATGGAATGTAATTTTAGTAGTAATAGCTCTAGTGACATAAGTATAACTTGGGTGATAGAATTATTAAAAGGTGTGAACGCTTTAAATAGCTCGGGTCTATTATTCAAAGCGATGGTGATATAAATGGGGATGGTAATAGTAGAATTCAAGTTGGTTGGTTGAAGTGGAGGAATGTTTTGTGTGATAGAAAAGTATCGCTTAGACTGAAAAGAAAATTTTATAAGACGTTGGTGAGACCTGCAATGCTCTATGGCGCTGAATGTTAGCCTTTAAAAGAGAAGCATAATATTAAGTTAAGTGTTGTCGAGATGAGAATGATTAGGTGGATGAGTGGCTTTACACTTGAGACAAAATGTGAAATGAGTAATATCCGTGATAGGGTTGGTGTAGCTCTTGTGACGGAAAAAATTAGAGAAAGCCGTCTTAGATGTTTTGGTCACATTAAATGTCGATCATCTGATGATCCGATTAGGATTGTAGATGTTTTAGATTCAACTTATGTTAAGAAAGGCAAAGGAAGACCTCGGAAGACTTGGGTTTATTTTATAAAAAATGATCTTACTTTATTAGAACAAAATGAAAATATGACACTAAATAGGGCGCAACGGAGAAAAAGGATTCATGTAGCTGACCCCATGTAGTGGGATTAAGGTTGTGTTGTTGTTGTTGTTATGATTGGTGGGAAAATTATTAGAAATAAAAGCAACTACTTCAAATTTGCTAACAAGAAAGACTTGAACTAACAATTAAAAATATTTAAAAGAAAAATATATCAAAATCTAGAAAAAAGCAATAACATTTTCATTTCATGAAATGATTGCGACTTTTTCTCATAAAATGAGGACATTTTAGACTTTGTCATCCTACTTTGAGAAAGCATTTTCTACCCAATGTTGCAATACAGTGAACAGAAAGAAACCTCACCGCCATTTTCTACAAATCAAGATTCAATAATTAACTCACATAATGCAGGATAAAATATTAAGTGATCTATGCACTAGTTATGACAAGGTTTGGTGAGATGTCGTCCTCTGTGGTTTAAAATAACTTATAGTTCCCCTTTTATCTTATTTCTTATTAAGAGTAGTTCAGTAATAGGTGATCAAAGAGTTAGTCTGTATTTTTTTATAAATACCAATGTCTTGTTTGCGAAGAATTCTTCTTTTGGATTAGTATAGCATCAGGATATCCTAAGGGTTCTAGGATGGGTTCTTCTTGGAGATGTGAGATGGAGAGGATAACTTCTATCATAACCTGACCAGCAGTTTTCATTTGCTTTCTGTTTCAAATATTAATTTTGGTGTCAAAGTGCACGGAAGGTGTGCGTTGCATGTCTCATTCCGTAAGATCGCCTAACTATTTCAACATATGCAAACAAAGAAAAATAGATTTCCTGCCATCTTAACTAATGGTAGATTTATTTTTTCTTTATTAGGGTGTAGTTTCATTTCCTCTCACAAGGGCTCCTGCAAAACCATGTGATTTGACAAATGATAAACCCAAACCAAGGTTATAAATTATTGATTAGATAGGAAAGGAAATAAAACAAACTAATTAGATAGGAAAGAAAATAAAACAAACTTCATTATGTTTGAAAGACA